CTCCCGAATCCACTGCCGCAGGCGCTAACATTCCCTGGTCTCAGGTCTACGTGGGAAGGTCGGGAGCTGCTAACCCAGAGTTTAATTGGATACCACTGTCCTCCATCTGTTCCTGCTCCTGCCCTCTACTGGAGACGCACGTCCATGACACCTCAGAGCTGCCCTTTCGCCAGGCCTGCTTTGTGCATGGAAACACAAGAGAAATAAACATGTTGGTTCTGAGGAAGGGAGGATTCTAAGCAGATATGAGGCTTCCGGCCGTATTTGACAACACAGTGTAAACAGTTTATTATCTGAAATATGGATCAGCTCTGTGATGGTTAGACTCTATGTAATCTAATTACTTTTTAATTAGTAATTTTTAATTACTAATTATTTTAGCAGCAGATAGCTTTTTACCATTGCAATAAATCTACATGGGAGAATCTCTGTGTTTTGGGGGACTATTATCCCTGTGGATTGGAGTATTTGCGTTAGATTTTTCTTTATATACATATTTTATATAGATATTACATATACATAGGTATATTTATGTGATGTGTATGCATTTCTCTATGTAATGATGAGCATGTGGCTTCCATTTTGTTCATTCTGCAGCCACAGTTGGTAAGACTTGACTTGGACTGACCGTATTACATCTGAGAAACTGAATATATTTAATTCAGTTTGCATTTCTTCCACACATGCAGTTTCACATATCTAATATGAATTGAATTAAGTACCACAGCTATTGCCCAGTGATTAGACGTGAAACAGAAAGTGCATCATCGTCACCGTCATCATGATCTGTGTGGATAAATGTTCTTTCCCTGTTTTCTGTGACTTGGGAATGCCTCCTGTCTTTCTTGTGACCTCAGGACGTGGCTATGAAACAGCAGTGGGTCAAACTCGCCGATATCCACAGGCCCCACCACAGCCTTGTCTTAGGTTGTGGTTCCATGTGAGCTCATGCAGGCAGTGACATAAACTGAGCAAATATGTTACTCTCTCGAGTATGAAAACATCTCATTTTTATTACTTATTTCCTTTGCTGAGTTCATTTTTATGGATTAGTGTCTAAACAGAGGATCTGCTACAAAAATTGTAGAAGTTAAAGGCGACCATTTTATTTCTATCTTCTAATTTTTTAAAGTGAACCGTTCCTCTTCTCTCTGCACACCCATCTGCATAATTCCATAGCTTTGTAACACAAATGATCACACCTGTAATTCTGTAGAGTCTCATGACTGTGCGCTTTTGTTTCCTTAAATTTCAATGTGCTATGTAGGGAGTTCAACTCAAATCAATCATCCGTAAATTTATAACCTTCCTCTGTAACTAATTTAGGTATCATACTAATATTTGTTTCTTTGGGAATGTCTTTAAGAAACTGTGGCATCACACCTTATATATGAAATAATAATCACTGAATTTATAGTTTAAAATCTTAATTGGCTACAATTAATTAGAGCTGTATTATGTATAGATTCCTTTGGTAATCGCATTAATTAAGAAGGATGCACAGTAATTGGGTTCCATCCAAACAGTAATATCCCTTACAGCTGCTGGCTCGAACAGCTCTTCTGGTTATGAGGTCCCAAAGAGTCTGGTGGGAAGGTTGGCATGCAGTTTGGCAGTGACTTCCTAATTCTGGTAACACATGGACAACTCCCTGACTTCCAGATTTGTCAATGGTTCTTCCTAAGATTAATTGCAATTAGGAAAAGTATGAAGATGGAATTCTAATCTGCAAAGTACATCTGGTCGACACTGAACTCAGTCTTGGCCCAGCAACAAATACTGCAAAACATATGGACAGGAGCGTTATTAAATGAGCTGTGGATGTGGATGTCGATGGCGTTTCCCTGTAGAGCTCTTTGAGGGCAGGGCTTCTGTTTAAAATAAGACCTTTGGGGGTAGTTTTTATTCTCTATTTCATGCTGATGAACAATGGGTCATTAATAGCATTCAGTGAAGAAATATTCATTGAGTGTCTGTCCAAGCACTTTACTAGGAATTAGGAAGACAATCAAGAAAAAGCAAGGGTCCCAACCCCAGAAGCATTTCAAGGCACAGAGGCGAGGCAGTGAACAATTATTGAAAGTGATTATGACACCATGTGACAGGGACAGCAATGGAATCCACACATCTGTGGCATGAAAGAGAAACAACGTGTATTGTCAGAGGGAGTTGCGGATATACCTCAAAGCAATGCCATTAGGTTTGCACCAAGCTTTCTTTAAATAAAATTAAAAAATTTATTTTTTAAATTATTATTATATTACTTTTATATAAGTAATATAAATTTATTATTATTATACTTTAAGTTCTGGGGTACATATGCAGAACGTGCAGGTTTGTTACATAGTTGTACGTGTGCCGTGGTGGTTTGCTGCATCCATCACCCCGTCATCTACATTAGGTATTTCTCCTAATGCTATCCCTCCCCATCCCCGCCCCCTGCTCTCCCTCCCTAGTCCCCCCACCCCCCAACAGGCCCAAGTGAGTGATGTTCCCCTCCCTGTGTCCATGTGTTCTCATTGTTCAGCCTTCTTTACAAGCCCCACTGCCCTGTGCCTGCTCTGAGCGGTGGACTCTGCTCTGCTGTATGTTCCCCCATGATTATTTTAAAGCAGCTGGTCCTGGCTGGATGTGGTGGCTTACACCTGTAATCCCAGCACTTTAGAAGGCCAAGGCGGGTGGATCACTTGAGGTCAGGAGTTTAAGACCAGCCCGGCCACCATGAAACCCTGTCTCTACTAAAAATACAAAAAAAAAAAAAAAAGCTGGCTGTGGTGTCTGGTGCCTGTAGTCCCAGTTACTTGGGACGATAATGCAGAATTACTTGAACCCAGGAGGCGGAGTTTGCAGTGAGCCAAGGCTGTACCTCTGTACTCCAGCCTGGATGACAGAGCAAGACTCTGTCTTAACAAAAAACAAAGAAAAGGCTTGTGCTTTATGTCATTTGGCCTCCAAAGTTTCAAACTAATAGAAAGTCAGTGGTGGCTACCTGTTTCCCTTAGACCAGAAACATGAATAAATAAAAGGGCTAAACTATTTGGTTCCTGACGTATATGTCATAAGTATTTACAAGGGAAGCAAAGAAAACTTCAGCTAAAGTAGTAAGGAGAGCTTTGGAGAGTGTTCGTTTCAGACTGCCCCAATGAAGTCACCAAATGCAGGACCGAGAAGAGCTACAGGGCATCTGGCGTGAAGGCCCCAGTGTCTTGTATGGAAGAGTTTTCTAGAAATGCTCTCCTCCTGTTCTCACCTTAAATCCTTCTCCGGACTTTTCTAAAATGGCAGTGAGCTACACAACCCCACAGCAAGTTTTCCTGTTTAAAAAAAAAAGGAAGCAGAAAATGATTTCTCAGTGTAAGTAATTCTTCCCTCTTCTTTTATTAGATTCTGATTCTTTCCACGTCATTTTAGTACAATCAACTGCCTTCGCATGTTCTTGCCAATGATGTCAGTGTTAGCTCTGGAAGCAGGTCTCCACATTGCTCAGTGACAGGACTTTTCTAATTTTACACATTGTCTTTTTTTTTTTTTTTTTTTTGAAGCTATGTTGAGTACCAGAAAAGTACAGGATCTGAAATTGGAAAGAACTGGGTTTTAGGGTTGGGGTTTTTTTGTTCCCTATAAGAAAAGTTACAGAAGACAGACAAAAAGAATACGTATTTCTTGTGGATAAATTATTAAACTGAACTTTTTGGGTGGGGCTTAAAATAGTACAAGCTAAAATATGTTGTCACAAAATACTTGGCTACTAGTTTTGCCAATGAGCTTGTCATAAGCCTGAGAGAGGGAATTGTCAGATTTACTTGGAGAGAAATGAGGAAACATCCTGAGGTTTAATGAGCAACTATAATCTAGAAGTGAATTTGGCTGGTGCTTCTATGTTGGAACCCCAAGAAGGGACCAACACGTGGTCTACCAGCTTCTTGCTAGATTTAATTCAGTTTCCGGATGATTCTAAAAACTTATTTCAGATATTTATGCAGACTTTTAAGGAGTTACTTAATCTGTAAATTATATAAACATTTTCTCATAGGAAGTCAAAACGCTTCTGTCAGGAGGGCTCTGAGATCCCTGGAGGCAGGTAAAGGGCAGGTGTTAGCAGGAAAGTTTGGGCCTGACTTGAGCTTAAAGGAAGTTATTAAGGAATGTTAATGACATTGAGGTATAGACCTATACCTTAATCACATCACATTGGGAAAGTGTATTCATGGGACCTGGATAAATATGCTGTGTCAGAGGCTGAGGGACTTACCTAAAATATCTGGGGAAAGACCAACACAGTGTTTCCAGTGATTTTCAAAAATAATTGGCTTTCATCTACATATTGGTTAAGTTATTCTCTCAGCACCTGATGAAACACTTTATCCAGTGCATATAGACAGAAATTATAACAGGTAGAAAAAGGTCGTTTGAAGCTGATGGAGAAGAGAGAATTTGAGAAAAAGCAAAAATCTTAATATGCATTGGTGTTAATTCATTTTCACACTGCTGATAAAGAAATACCCAAGACTGGGCAATTTACAAAAGAAAGAGGTTTAATGGACTTATGCTTTCACATGGCTGGGGAGGCCTCACAATCATGGCGAAGGCAAGGAGGAAGGGGGCAAGTCGTGTCTTACATGGATGGCAGCCGGCAACGAGAGAGTTTGTGCAGGGAAATTCCCCCTTAAAGAACCATCAGATCTCCTGAGGCTTATTCACTTCATTACAACAGCATGGGAGAGGCCTGATCTCATGATTCAATTACCTCCCTCTGGGTCCCTCCCACAATACATGGGAATTCAAGATGAGATTTGGATGGGGACACAGCCAAACCATCTCCGTTTATGACTATTTAATGAAATTTATCAATTGGGTGACTGTATTTTTCCCACCTTATAAAGTCCTTGTTGAGGTGACACAATATATAATTATCTGCTTTATTAATCTTTTAACACTTTCATAGAATATCTTAAAACACATTTCTATGGACTGAATATGCCCCCGCCAAAATTAATACGTTAAAATCTAATCCTAAAAATGGCGATATTTGGAGGAGGAGACTTTGGGAAGCGATTAGATCATGAGGAGGGAGCCTTCATGAATGGAATTAGTGTCTTTATAAAAAAGCTTCAGAAATTCCTTGTCCTTTTTACCATGGGAGAACATGGCAAGAAAGTGCTTCCTATAACCCAGGCGAGAGCCAGCATCAGACATCGAACTTGCTAGTGACTTCATCCTTGACTTCTCAGCCTCCAGAATGTAAAAAATAAACTTCTACTGTTTGTAAGCAATCCAGTTTATAGGATTTTCTTACAGCAGCCAAAATTGACTAAGATACATCATCAACATTGACAGAAAAACCTTATGACATTGTATAAATTAGGAAATATATGTTGACTGTTCTCTGTGATGAGATAATACAGTGGAAGTGTAAATAGTCACATTTCCCAAGATGAATAATAATTTAGTTCAATATAACAAGTGTATGTTTGTGTGTATAATGAAGCACAATATGAAATATATGTTCTGCAACATTGTAACATTACAACTGACATAAATATTTAGAGAATACTATAGTTAAGATTCAGTCCTAAATAGCATCTGATTTTGTGAGTTACAGAAAGAGTGGGAGTCAAGATTCTGAGATACTATTAGTTATTTGTGTATGCTGAATCATTTCAATCATTGATAAACTTTAGAAAAGATAAATAATATAGTAAAATCATCAATAAAGTTTAGGAAAGATAGATAATATAGTAAAATCATCCATGAGACTCCAGTTTCAACTTGTCATGTCAAGGGCACATTCCCATCCTCATAACAAGAAAAATCCGAGCAACCCACAAATCAATGACGTCTCTGAACTCATCAGAGAACTGAGGTTGCCGGTTAAACTGCCACCTGAAAATAAAGGACAGGCGGGCCTACAGAGTCACAACCAGGACAAGTGTACATGAATAGGAGCCATATGAAGGTAGGATCACTTATGTTCACTTTCCTGATGTACTGGAGGTCACTAGTGTGAGAGGGAGAAAGTCCTGGGGGCTGCAGTCCTAGGATGCCCCTATGCTCATTGTCTTTAGTACCAGGAACCCCATTAGGTTCCGGGAATATCCCTGGAAAATTCCACGTATATCCCTTTTTACCTCCGGCAGGTCAAGGAAAAATGGACATTATGAAGTATCCTAGATCATTCTACATCAGAAAGGCTTTTTCTTTAGGGAAAAATCTCTGCTAGCAGGTTATCAGGGAAGGGTGTTACTTCCATATCAGACAGACCTCTTTAGCTGTCCTGTCTTGCTAATGGAAAACTCATACCCAGTAGGTGTCACGGCTTCAAGGAAATAAAATGGGAATGCTATAGCTGGAAAAGTAGTAGGAGGCAAGGAGGAAAAAGGGGCTATTTTGTTGAGAAAATTTTTTGAAAAGTCATAGCCCCAAAACACAGGATCACTAAAAGACTCACAGCTAGTAGGAAGGTTATAAAGCACTCTTCCGTCCCTCCTGCCACAGCAACAGGCCTCTCGCTTTGTAAGAGTGGGTTACAGCAGAACGCCCTGCAAGGCACAGAGTTCTCTCCGAGAAGAAAATCAAACCCTCTGACACCTACAGCTATAGCAAACATTAAACATAACACAACTGCTGGTCAGATTAACACAAATCTGCTGAAGTCCTGTGTGTCTCATTTTTTATCAACCAATACATGTCAGGCTTTTTACCAAAAACAAAACAAAAGGGCATGGGGCATGTTAAAGGCAAGAAACACACATTCAGAAGAGGCAATGCTCCCGATGGTGGTTTGAGGGATATCTTGACAGCACCAGTCGGGGAATTTAGAACAATTAGGATTTACAAGATAAGCTGTTTTAGATTACTACGATAAGATATTTTAGATACATGATGACAGAAATGAAGAATACCTCTGATCACCCGTTACTGGACAGGACTCAGCTTGGAAAGCACTCAAGAAGCTTGATTGCTGCTGAATAAAAACTTCCCACAGTGAAATGAAAAGAGAAAACGAAAAGAAAAAGAAAACAAAGCAAAAACCAGAACAGAACATCCAAGAACTACGGAAAAGTTACAAAATTTTACCATAAAATTGATTAGAATACCAAGAAAGAGAAGCAAAAGAGAGCAGAGGAACATAAAGATTTGAGGACTATACTGAGAGCCTTCCAAAATTAATGATAGACACCAAACTACAAGGCCAAGAGGCTCAGAGAACACCGAGAAGTATAAATCCCAAAATACCTACACTTAAATATATCATATTCTTACTGCACAAAACCAGAGACAAAGGGAACCTTGAAAGAAAGCAAAGTTAGGAGGAAATACTTTACCTAGAGAAGAGCAAATATAAACACAGAAGCAACTTTCTTGTCAGAAACTATGCAAACAAGAAGAGAATGGAGCACAATATTTAAAGGATTGAAAGGAAAAATACAAATACTTCGAATTCTGTACCCAGCAAAATTATACTGCAAAAATGAAGGACAGAAAAGGCTTCCTCAGAGAAACAAAAAACACCTTAAATTAAGCAATAGAAAACTATTATAGAGTCCACAAAAGAAAAGTGATCATTTTAACTATAATAGTTCCCAGATGGTGTTCTATTTCTTGTGTGTCTATGCCTGTATCGGGGTCATGAACTTACTTTTATTTTCTAACAAATATGATTTTAACTCCCTTAAAAAAGTTTATGGCTGCAGGATATTATTCATAAACAGTGGCCAAGGTGTGACGGCTCATGCCTGTAATCCCAGCCCTTTGGGAGGCTGAAGAGGGAGGACTGCATGAGCCCAGGGTTTTCAAACCAGCCTGGGCAACAAAGCAACACCCCATCTCAACACAAAATTTTTTTTTAATTTGCTGGGCCTAGTGGCATGTGCCTGTGGTCCCAGCTACTGTAGTGGTTGATGGGGGATCATTAGAACCTGGAAATCGAGGCTACAGTGAGCCCCATTATTACCACTGCCCTTCAGCTTGAGGAACAGAGTGAAATCTGTCTCAACAAAGAAACAAAAACCCCAAAAAACAACAAACAACAAAAACAAAAGCCAAAAATACTTCTAAAAACCTTTTTCCATTTAATTCTAGTAAGGGTGCTGTGAGGTTAGCATTTTTATATTTATTTACAGGGAAAGATGGGGAGGTTTAGAATATTTATGTATTTTGCCCAAATTACTATTTGCAGTAATTCATACTTGAGGGATTGTAACCGGCGACCTTCTCATTTAGGAGCCCAAGCTTTTAGCCATTTTGTCTGAAGGTTAATAGCGGGAGGGTTCTTTTTGGTTTTTAAAGTAGAAATCAATGTAGAAGGTACATGACAAAATAGAGTATAATTTATTCTTAAAGTAGATACATAGTTTTTCTCTAGGAAGATTTCAAAAAGAATAGAAGCTGTGGAGAGAATAGAAGGACAAGGAAAGTGATTTAAGTAAGAATATCTTATCGTTATTCCCTAACTCTCGCACTCACGGAGAGCAGCAATTATCCTGATGGTGGTTTGTTATGTACCAAACAGAAAACAGGACGTTCTCACTGCTATGTTAAATGCAAACATTGTGATCGCACCTTAAGACATATAGATGAATTAAGTCTGGAATAAGTACAATTGTATTATATTTAGTAGGCAAACCATTTAGGAAAGACTAATAGGAAAATACCCACTACTACATTCCATTTCCGCATTCATTCACATTCTGAAACTAAAGGTACTTTCAAAAAAGAAACTCAAGGCCAGGTGCGGTGACTCACACCTGTTTTCCTAGCACGATGGGAGGCCAAGGCAGGAGGATCGAGAGGTCAGGAATTCGAGAGCAACCTGGCCAGTATGATAAAACCTTGTCTCTACTAACAAAGCCACACAAAAGTTAGCCAGGCATGGTGGCATGCACCTGTAGTCCCAGCTACTCAGGAGGCTGAGGCAAGAGAATTGCTTGAGCCCAATAGGTGGAGGTTGCAGTGAGCTGAGATGGTGCCACTGCACTCCAGACTGGGGGACAGAGGGAGACTCTGTCTCAAAAGAAAAAAAAAAGAGAGAGAGAAAAGAAACTCAAAACTTAATGGCTACATTGGAAACACAAACTTTTTAAAAATATTTAGAAGAAAAAATAATGACAAAAAAGCAAGGTATCTGAAATCATGTAAGAGGATGTATTCCTTTGCTACAAAAAACTTAATGAACATAGTTCCTCGTTCTTTAAGTTGGTGGAGCCAGACTACCTCTATTAATCCCTTTGATTCCTCAGTGTTCTACCCACAATAATATTAGTTGTTTGCAAGAATATGTTTTAAACTAAAATATTACTTAATCAACAAAACACATAAAGAGTGTTAATTGAATAATGCATTTATTTTGTTAACATTTGCTCAGAGAAGAGTTGAGGAAGTGCCCTCTTCAGAACATACACAGCAAATAGTTTTCTGCTAGTGAAAGGGTTATTTTCTAGACCCAAGTGTTCCCATAGTAAACTTCCTTTTAAGAGGAGAGTGCAGGTAGCATCTAGAAACCTACCAGATAACCTACCAGGATAATTAGATTATTGGTCAGCTCCAGAGGTGAGAGGACCTGAAAGTTTCCTAGAGTATATTTTTTAATATATTTTTTAATTTCTCAGATCAGACTGTCTGCAAAAAGTGGTTTCTTCTAAAGTATTTAAGACAGGAAGAATGAGTGGGGGTTTGGGAGACTCGGACTGGTGAAAGGAAAGGGTGGCTCTGAGAAAGGGAATGAGAAGTGAGTATAATAATCTTAAAGATGGTAAGATTTTTTTTTTATTTCTTTAGAGAGTTAGGGCCAATAGGGAATAGATACAAATAATGGGTGTCCTGTTGTAGAATGTCTACAGCAGAAAGTGAGTGTCTTTCACTGTGTGTGTGTGTGTGTGTGTGTGTGTGTGTATATATACATATATATTTTATATATGTGTGTATACATGTATAGATATTGTGTATATTTTAAACATTTTATAAATGTATTTATTTGACATAGTGTGGGTTATTGATTAGACTCTGGGCACCCTAAACTTAGCGAATAACTTAAAATACCTGGAAAATATGTTACTTAGAGGTGAGATAAATCCTGAATCGAAATCACAGATGAGATATCAAATATAACTTTTTTTTCAGAGATGTGTTCGAATAGTACTCCCAGGATTTCATTCCTTATGACATTTAAAAGCTGAGCATATACAGCACTAAAAATACACGACAGGGAACCATCCTATGCTGGCAGAGAAATGTTTGAGCGCTTCAAAAGGTCCCAGCTATTTTTAATTTCTACTCTCACGCTACCTTAGAGTGAGTAATACCTTTGCAAATTGTACTATGTTGGTTGAGGCGACAGCATGGTTCCCTGTCCCAAGGAAGCCCTGGACAGTATTCTTCAGAAGTGCTTGCAGGCTCTTTTTTATTAGAAAATAAATGAATCTAGTGCCAAAAGGTAGTAATTTACAGTTAATTGCTGATGTGGATCTTCATGTCAAACTTGCTGTTTCATGTTACTATAAATATCCAAAATAACTGCTCAAATTTTTATGTATTAAAAGTATTTACTTCCTAATTTTGCTTTAGTATCACGTTGACTGATGTCACCTTCTTCCATTTTAGTCTTCCCAGCACTTAGCAAGGACAGACTCACAGCACTCTTGAACCTCTGGTTGACTTAGATTGTTGGGCACCCCATTGCTCACTCACATAAGTGTTTAGTGATATTCACTACCTGGCCCCGTGTGCCTGCAGAGAGGGCAGTGTGGGACCTAGAAAGGGTACAAGGCTCTGAGAACAATTACGCCCTACCAAATGTTTGACTTTGAGCATGTTTCTTACCTCTTAAAATAATCAGCTATTTTTATTTGTAAGATTCAGGTTATTTCTTCTTTGCCTTGCTACTGTGAAAGAGATAGAAATTTAAAACCCAACATTTCTGCATGCTGCAGGCATACATACTCACAGATATAATAAATTATTGATTTTTTAATGGGAAATACATGTAGTGTGCTTTCATTGTTTCTAAAATCCACAGTTGAGAAATAATCAGAAATTGGAGCTTACTGTGATGCCTAATTTTAGGTTTTGCTTAATTGTCATGATGTTACCAGAGTTCAGAGATTTGAAGAAGGTAGAACAGCTGCCCCCATTTTCTCTGACCCCAGAAACAATTCCAACATACATTGGAATTTGAGCTTACCTTATCCTGGTCTTGGGGCTAAGAAGATTCCAATTCCTTCTCCTCTCACCTTTCCATTGCGGAGCTCCGGCTGCTGCTTCTGTGTTTTAGAGTTGTAGGACCTTTTTAGAACCTTTGATGTAAATAGCTAGTCCTAAATAACGTACTTCAAAGGAAAGAGTTTCATATCCAAGTTTACTTCATAATGTTTTATCATGTAACAAGCTGGCATTTACAGGTATTTTAAATTGCCATGAGATAGACTATATGCTGCTAAATGTACCTCTTTTGTATTTTCTGCCATTTTAAACAACATAGCTCATAAAACATGAAAGATGTACATTTGTACAATTTGTGTGTGCCTTAGCCTGGTATCATTCTCAAGGGTAAAAAAAGTCACTCGACTGCTTGGACATCGTTTTAAAGACATGAAACTTTCTGAATTAAAACCACAGAGGAACATTTAAGAGCTACTTATCAAAGATGGTAATTTTATCCATAAAGCAATTGCTAAATGGAAATCAGAAAGGTCAGCTGTAATTCACTCCAGGGAATCAAGATGACACGCTCAGTCTGGCTGCAGGGAAAGGGTTGGTCAGAGAGATGCACTGTTTCTAAACTGAACCAGGAGTGTTCCTGTGGGAAGACAGCATTAGAATCCAAGCAGGTCTGAAGCTGTTGCAACGGCCACCTTCTTGGGCCTCAGTGGAGGCTGTGCTTGTGTCTGCCCGCTGGTTCAGCAGGGAGGCTTTTCAAATTACGGCAGCAGCTTTACAGAGCAGATAATTATGGAAAGTTATGAATGACAGAAATTACTGCGGCTACAGTCTTCTTTTTTTGCCTTTGCTGGCTGTTCCGCATCCATTATAGTTTCCTTTTATAGCTTCCTTAGTTATCTGCAGTTAATTAACATCAATAAATGACTGAAAATGTTATATAGTACTTTGACTGCATTTCCATCTTTTTTGCTTCTTTCTTTGGCAAACTATCATTCCTAGTGTGTGACCACTGTTGTTAACACTGAAATTAAAATGGTTTTTGGCATTTGTTAAAAAAAAAAATTATAATTTTGACTCTTTGGTTTCAATTTATGTGCTTTTGTATAGTCATAAATATATGTATATATGCTAAAGTATATATATCTTTAAGTATATATGTACCTTTTAT